CTTGCTCAAGGGCACCTCGGCAGGTGCACAGGAGGTGAAACTGGCACCTCTCCAGCTACCAGTCCACACTCCATACTGTGGTCTGTGGGACTTGAACCGGCAACCCTCCGGTTTTCAAGCCAAGTCCCTACACTCTGAGCTACTGCATGAAGGAGGGCACACACCAAAAGGACCTCAGTCTCCTCAGCAGGTGAAGAAGACTTTGGCCCTTCTTGTACATGACATAACATAACAAAAGTAATTAAAGTAGCTCAGCGGGTAGAATCCTCTTGCAGCAGGTTCAACTCCGACCTTTCACCCTTTGCTGCATTCTTCCCCCTTTAAATTTAATATGGTTTTAATAAATGTTAGAAATAATTATTTCTATTTGAAAACAACATATGTAAATAGTTGAGTTCATTAAAGTTCTAATATCTAACATATACAATGTAGAACTGTAAATACCCCAGTATATTAGCTCAGATGTGGACTTCCTGCAGTACTGTCCAGCAGAGGCTTTAATGAAGTCAGACTGGGACAGGAAGTTGTCACTGTGTCACTGTGTCTTTCTGACCTTCAGCCAACAGAGTTCACTATCAGAGATTTGGCCCAGACTCTCCTCCTGCCCACATGTGAAGACATGAAACCAACAGACTGAAACACAGACCTGGTCCCGGTCTGAGTCACTAGCACACACAGGGGACTGCATCCTGATTGGACTCACAGGTACGAGTTCACCTGTGTCTCACCTGGTATCAGAACTGCAGACAGACGCTGAGAAAAAGGTTGTGTTTTTGTATTATATATTTATTATCTTATATTTATTAATATTATATTATATTGTATTATATCATATTATATTATACTGTATCATATTATATTATATTATATTGTGTTCTGTAGTGTCATTATGTTACGTGGGGTTATATGTTGCTGTGTTAAAATGTGTTATGTTATATTTTTATGTTTTATGATATGATGTTATGTTGTATAATGTTATGCAATGTTAGCAGGTGAAGTTAAAGGTTGTGTTTCAGGGGTTAAGGTACCAACAGGTAATAATACTTTTATTTTAAGTATTATGATCATATAAATGAATCTGTTTCATGAGTTTGTGTTTAAGAAACGTCAGAAATGTAAAGAAATCCTCTAGACTGAATAAGGGCAGATTGTGTCAGATGTGGTTCAGTTTTGGGTTTCTGGGTTCAGCTCTCAGTGTTTTTGAATATTTTGGCTTCAGGACAGAGAAAATAAACACCGCTGACCTCCATAGCTTTAGACTCACAGTCAGCAGCATCTCAGCCAAATTTAAAGAGGTCGACCTCAAATTAGCTGCTGCTGTTTACGTACAGAGCTATTAGCTGTAGATTTAATGTCAACCACTGCTGCTGGACTTCTGCTCCTCTGTCCACCTTTTTAGATCCAGCATGGCAGTCTCTGAGGAGAACCTGGATGACTACAGTGTTTACAGTGAGCTGTCTGATGAAGAGCTGTTAGAGATCGCTATAGAGAGGAGTCTCTCTGACAGACATCTTCCTCCAGACTCTGATCAGAGCACATCATCCTTAGCCCCCCCCACCCAACTAAACAAACCCCTGACCCTGACACTGACTCAACCAACCAGACAGAGACCTCCTGACCCCCCCAGACACCAGTACCACAGCCCTCCATCCCAACCAGAGCCCCCATATGTCCCAGGCCTACCCCACTTCCTCTACAAAACCCTTAAAAGGTGAGTCAGTCCAGATCAATCCAGAGAGGAAGTAAACAGCCAGCAAACATCTAAAAACACACATCTTGAGCACAAAGTGGTTCTATGTCATCCATGAACCTCCTGTGAGTGAATGCTTCAGATATCTGCTGTTGGGCCGTCAACCTGCTCTTTCATAAAATGTTTAATGTTTGCTGGATGTTTGTTTTCAGTTTTTAGATGTTGTTCACAGTTTCTTACTGTGCTTCCTGATCCTCACATTGAGTATTTTCCTCTTTTTCTCTCAGAGAGCTCAGTCCTCTGCAGACTCTGATTATAAACGGAGATACAGAGGCTTTGATGGATTTGGTCAGACAGCAGTCCAGCAGTCTGACGGAGCCCAACAAGGAAGGCTGGATTGCTCTTCATGAAGCTGCTTATTATGGACAGCTGCAGTGTGTCAGTATCCTCGTCAGCGGTGAGGAAGACCACTAGTTGTCTGATTAAGGATATTTATTGCAGATATCCCAAATGAAATCGTTAAATAGTATGTACAACTGGTACAGTGTTATCTGAAGATTCTATGAGACTGTTGTCTCTTCAGTAATTCCAATTCTATCCATTAAAGGTCCAGTGTGTATGATTAAGTGGCATCTCTGATTTAGGTCATACTCATCAGATCGTTCTCAGTTTGTACACGTTAACGATTACAGTTAGTCATGGAGTTCCACAAGGTTCTGTACTTGGACCAATACTTTTTACTTTATATATGCTTCCTTTAGGCAA